ATGTTAAATAAAAGTGGTGAGTGGACACGCTTGTCTTATTTCTGATCTTGGAGGGAATGCTTTCAGCTTTTCACCATTGAGGATGATGCTAGTTATATTGTTGTTGTTCAGTTGTTAAGTTGTGTCCAACTCTTTTCGACCTTATGGACTGCAGCATGCCAGGCTTCCCTGTCCTTCACTATCTCCCGAAGTTTGCTCAGATTCATGTCCTTTGAGTCAGTGATGCTATCTAACCATCTCATCCTCTGCCACCCTGTTCAACTCCCACCCTCAATATTTTCCAGAGTCAGGGTTTTTTCCAATGAGTCAGCTCTTCACATCAGATAGCCACAGCATTGAAGCTTCAGCATCAGTCCTTCCAATAAATATTCAGGGTTGATTTCCTTTAAGATTGACTGGTTTGAAGCCAGCTTTTTCATTCTCCTCTTTCACATTCATCAAGAGGATCTTTAGTTCCTCTTCACCTTCTGCCATTAGGGTGGTGTCATCTGCATATCTGAGGTTGTTGATATTTCTCTCAGCAGTTTTGATTCCAACTTGTGATTCATCCAGCTTGGCATTTCACATGATGTACTCTGCACATAAGTTAAATAAAGAGGGTAACAATATACCGCCTTGTGGTACTCCTTTCCCAATTTTGAACCAGTCAGTTGTTCCATGTCTGGGTCTTTATTGCTTCTTGACCCACATAACAGGTTTCTTAGGAGACAGGTAAGGTGGTCTGGTATTCCTATGTCTTTAAGAATTTTCCACAGTTTGTTGTGATTCACACAGTCGAAGGCTACAGGTTTGTCATACACGGCCTTCATTATGTTGAGGTATGTCCCCTCTTGGCCACTTTCTGGAGAGTTTTTATCGTAAATGGGTATTGAATTTTGTCAAAAGATTTTTCTGCTTCCTTTGAGATGATCATATGGTTTTTATTCTTCAATTTGTTAATATGGTGTATCACACTGATTTGTGGATGCTGAAAAAATCCTTGCATCCCTGGGATAAATCCCTCTTAATCATGGTGTAAATCATCTTAATGTACTATTGAATTTGGTTTGCTGATATTTTGTTGAGGATTTTTGTGTCTGTGTTCATCAATGATATTGGCCTGTAATTGTGTGTGTGTATGTGTCCATGTGCATATTATCTTTGCCTGGTTTTGGTATCAGGGTGATGGCAGACTCATAGAATGAGTTTAAGAGTGTTACTCCCTCTGTAATTTTTTAGAATAGTTTCAGAAATATTAACTCTTCTCTAAATGTTTGATAGACTTCACCTGTGAATCCTTCTGGTCCTGGACTTTCGTTTGTTTGGAATTTTTTTTATCACAATTTCAATTTAAGTACTTATGATTGGTCTGTTCATATGTTCTATTTCTTCCTAGTTCAGTTTTGAGAGATTGTACCTTTCTAAAAATTTGCCCACTTCTTCTAGGTTGTTCATTTTATTGGCATATAGTTGTTTGCAGTTGGAGTCTTTGTATTTCAGTGGCGTCCATTATAATTTCTTTTTCATTTCTAATTTTCTTTATTTGAGCCCTCTCTCTTTTTTCCTGGTGAGTCTGGCTTAAGATTTATCAATTTTGTTTACCTTTTAAAAGAGCCAACTTTTAGTTCCATTTATCTTTGCTATTATTTTGTCTCTATTTTATTTCTTTCTGCTCTGATCTTTACATTTTTCCTTCTGCTAACTTTAGATTTTGTTTACTCTTCTTTCTCTAATTGCTTTAGGTATTCTTTATTTGAGATTTTTCCTGTCTCCTCAGGTACAACTGTATTGCTGAAACCCATAGGTTTTGGATTGTCATGTCTTGATCTGTCTATAGGTATTTTTGTTATTTCCATCTTGATTTCTTCAGTGACTCACTGGTTGATTAGTAGCATATTGTTTTGCCTCCATATGTTGTTGTTTTCCTTTTTTTTTTTTTTTTCCTGTGTCCTGGTGTGCACGAGACCATGTCTACACCAAAGGTGGAGTCTTGTTTCCCCTAGTCTTACGGAATTCCTGTGATCAAACCCCACTGGCCTTCAAAGCCAGAGTCTCTGGGGGCTTTTCCTCCCATTGCTAGAGCTGCCAGCTGGTGAGCCTGATGTGGGGCTCAAGACTCCTCGGCAGAATTTCTGCAATGTAATTACTTTCCAGCATGTGGGTTGCCTACCTACCAGGTATGGGCCTTGATTTTATCATGATTACATGCCTCCTACCATCTTGTTATATCTTCTTCTTTTTCTTTGGATGTAGGATATCTTTTCTGGCCAGTTCCAGTGATTTTCTTGTCGATAGTTATTCTGCAAGCTAGTTGTGATTTTGATATCTTCATAAGACCAGGTGAGCTCACGTCCTTCTACTCCGCCATCTTATCTCCCTAAAAACTGTTCTTTTAAATATGTGTGTGTGCACACACAATATTCGCAAGCACTGAGTAATTCTGGTAAAAGCCAGTCCTCAATTTTGAGCAAAGAGTTTTTATAAACAACAGCAACCCACTCTCCCACCACCGAAGAAAGAAAAATTCTTCCCGCACTCTTTGAACCTTAAAGAGTGTTTTTATAGGCCAGCTCATTGTTTGTCTTCTCTCTGAAAAATTAGAAAGGATAACTGCTTTGATGGCTTCTACAGAAAAAGACAATTTCCATGATTTCATTTCTTGACAAAGAACAGCTACCTCACTTGGTTTCTGCCACATGTAAGCAAATTCCCAAATGTAAAATCTCCCCTCAGAGGAAGCAATGTGAGCCCACAAAACTATCTTGAATTCTGCCCCCAGCTTCCCCTGGCCGTGCAAGGTGGCCAAGTGGCAGGGGGAGGCGTGGGACAAGTGGCTTGACCGTGTGCACGCAGCCTGCGCGGTGGCTGTGGCTATCCAGGTGGCTTCTGCTCTGTCACCGCTTGATCTGGCTAGTCTCTCCACAAAAAAAAAAAAAAAAAAAAAAACAATGCCTGCCTGTCTTTTATAATATTCTGTCTTAAAAGAGAGGTATCTCCAGGGAGAGAACAGGACCCTAAAAGTCCAAGGCCTGGAATTCCTCCTTTCTCTCTTTCAATTTTAAACAGGAAACATTCATGCTAAGAGGGTCCGGAGGGAGCATTGATTGTATGTTCATTTTAAGGCAGATAATGTTTGTGTGTTGCAAATGTCAGTGATTTATCCCAAGGGCTTAAAATGAGTGCAGAAAAACCACATGTTTCACTTCATGCAGAGAAATATCATCAGTAGATTCTGAGAGAAAACACAGGTTAGGGGTTTTTTTTTGTTTGTGGTTTTTTTTTAAAGTGTTTTGAAAATCTCTAACATGAACCAAAAGGAAGTAGAAATGAGCATGGTGGGAGAGAGGGGGAGCTTAAAATATTGTACAATAAAAGATATAATGAATGCTGGAAGTTTTCTAAATAAAAAAAAAAAAACATTCTAAAGGAAAGAGAAGATGAAATCCCCATCCTTTATTTCACAGGGCTGGGGTGACAGATTACACATTTGTGCTCTATTTGTCATGGGCAATTTAAAACAGAGCAAAGCAAACTGCACTGAATAATAACAGTTGATGCTATAATAACTTGTACACAAACAATTTAATTTTTTTACCTGAAAACTCTAACTAAATTAACCCAGGCTCAAGGATCTCTCTTTCATTATTACACATAGCCAAATTAAGACATAAAAAAGTAGAGAAAAATTCTATTGTTCATCCTTTTGAATGTGTTCACATGCTGCTTTCCACATGGACTCAAGCTTGGAGCTTGTCAAACCATCATTGATTTGGGGAATTTACAGAGCTGTTTTCCCATCAAACTCTGCAGATTACAGGGTGATTGTGACCCTCATTGACAGTGCTTGATTAACCACAGACACCGTATTCTTACAGCCCTGTCATTTCTTTCAAGTGTTCTACCAGGTTGTACTCTGACATTGGAGAGCTTTCCATTAATTGTTATTGTTGCTCTTTTCCTTGAAAAAGAAATAATAAAGAGAGGAATGGTAGAAAGTGGGGAGGATCTGGGCATGATGTTAGGGAATATGTGCACAGAAGGTTTATGGGATTTTAAGAGCTGCAAACAGAACTCATCTGTTTAACCCCAGGCTAGATAAGATGCAGTCATCTGTACATTGTTTAGAGACGTATTGCTTCTGTTATGGCAAATGGATCAGAAGATGCTTGTTGTCTTAGCAGAGAGAGCCAGACAGGGTCGCTTTATGTTAGTGTTTATTCTTGCCCTGGACCTTTCTGTGTGCCTACTCATTACACAGTGCAACTTACAGCTGGTTTGACTTTTCCCAGTCTGCTACCGGCTGGGTGGTGCTTACTGACTTTGCAGTAGAATTGCTTCATATCAAAGTTATAGGTGGATAATTCCAGACTCTTAGTTGGGACTTCTTCCAGGAACTGTGGAAAGAGGGCATACTAATCCACACAGATATGTCACAGAAGCCAACCAGAGTTAGACCAAGACTATATGGCCTGTGTGAAGAATAGCCCACGGACCTAGGAGAGAAATGAGTTCATTCCCTGGGAAGTTTATGACTCCAGATAACATGTGCATTTCTACCACCATGTCTATGTCAGGATTCAGGGAGGTGGAGAAGGAAGGGAGTGAACCATTACTAGTATTAATAGAGCCAAACTCAGCCTTGTTTAGGGAACTCGCTTGGTTACTATAATAAAGGCCAACATATAAACAAGATAGAAGAAAATTTCTCTGTTAGGCACCTAACTGATATGGTGGCTTCATGGTGTAGAGGAATCAGGCTCTTTTCTTCTTGTCCTGCCTTCCTCAGCATGTGGCTTTCTCCTTATGATCTTTATTATGGCCACTCTTAGCAGCCAACAGAAAGGAGGGAAGAGGAGAGGGTCCCTTTCTTCCTTTTCAGGGTATGCATCATGGCTATTCACATCCCATTGGCCAGATCCAGTCTGTGGCCACGCCAGGCTGCAGGGAGGCTGAGGGATGTCGTCATCAGCTGGGCAACCAGCTTAGTGGTCGCTGATACGTGTCTCGTCTTCTCTTTCCAGGGGAGGACCAGCAGATCCTGTGGACTACCTGACAGCCACATCTCGAGGGCTCTACAAGGAAAGAGAGCTTCCCTATTACCCAGGGGCTCATCCTGTGCATCCACCCAAAGGAAGCTATCCTCGCCCCCCAGACCTGAGAGTCACAGATCTCCGGTATCCCCAGTACTATCCACCCCCACCAGCCCCCCAGCACAAAGGACCTTTCCGACAAGATGTCCCGCCTTCCCCTCCTCAGCACCACAGAGTACCAGCCTACCCAGAAATGGGCAGACCAGGGCCCCGAGGGAGCAGCCCAGATCAGTATCCCTATCGAACCCAGGATCCCAGGCAGAAGAACCCCATGACCGCAGCCGTGTAGCTGACCACCACCAAGCTCAGCCCAGCCCGGGATGGAAGACATCCAACATCACCTTTGTCCTTCCTACACCTTAAGGCCTTCTTCCTATTGAGAATTCTCTATGGTACAGGTTGGATTTTTCTCACTGAAGCTGCAATACTTGACCACTAATCAGAAAGAATGGAGTAGGAGTTTGGGGAGGGAACTCAGAAGGAAAAGGAAGGATAGGGCCATAAAAACAAAACTGTCTGATATCTGAAATATATTTAGAATTGTTCAGTTCACTGAGAGTGGCAGTTGAACAGGCAAATAGCAGTGGAGATCTACAGCATGGCCACCTCCCTGGAACACAAACATGCATAGCATTGGCGTCATGGAGGGGAGAGGGGCCAGTCTGTCTGGGACATCATCCATTCAGAAGCTAAGCTGCAGCCACCTCCTGAAGTTGTTAAGTCTGTGAAGAATAGCTACAAATATGGGCATCCTAAGAGAGTAGTCTTCGCATTGAGAAAACAAACATGAAGAGTGAGCTCCTTGAAATGTTTTGTACCCAGAGGAAGGCTGCATTTATTTGTAGCATTTCTCAGGTTCTCAGTACCACTCACTTGGTAAAAGCATTTCGCGTTTCCTCACTTTTTATATAAAAAAATGTGAATGCAGTATTAGTTTCCTGGGAGAATTCACAAAGCTAGTCAGAGCTTCCAGAACAAATCTATGCCTAGGATCAAGGCAATCAGATTAAAAGGCTATAATTTCCATGGTCCTCACCTTCCTTTCTCCCACATCCCAGGCAAGATAGCATAGAGCTATCTGGCTTCAGACTCATCCCCAAATCTCCTGCTTGTCATTATTGTAACTGGGGCCTTTACTTTAAGACTCCCACTTGAGAGCGGAGATGTACTCAGGAAAGAGAGGACCCACTGGTGAGGTCACACAGGAAGCAGTGCTCTGAAGATGCCAATTCTAGACTCAGTGCCAAATAGCACCAGATGCACCCAGGGTCGGGAAAGGGCTGACGGTGCTCTTTGGGAATGATAACTAGCAAGCAATAGTAGTGTGTGTGTATGTGTGCGTGTTTATGAAGGTGTATGATTACCAGTATGGAGAATGGGGGAAAGAAAATACCTTCTGGAAAGTTTGATGAAGAAGAGAACAAAAAGAAAAACAACAAACCAGAAGGGAAGGGAGAAGGAGCATAAAACTAAATCATTCTACATCTGCTCTATTTCATTAACACGAGTCAGAGCAAGACTAAGGCCAAGGTCTCCAGTTGGGGAAAGGTCTTATGGCTTTGCAAAGCTAAAAACCCCACCCTCCAAAATCCCTCACATTTCTTTAGAGCTTTGCACATATATTCTACTTATTTCAACATAGATTAGAACCTCTAAACCCTGACCCAAATGAGAACACAAGACTGCGAAACAGCAAAGCATGGAGAAGCAACTCAAAGTGCTCAGTGACCCCTGCAGTCCTCTAAGCCTTTGTGCACTCCTTCTTCAGCCTCTTCCCCCCAAAATGTCTTGAGCTCAGCTCAGACATTCTGGCTGAGATTAGAATACCTCTGACGGCTAGGATTTAATAAATTATAGTATTGATGTTATTGAATACATAGAGTATCTATCCTGCCCGGTTTAGTATTTTTTTTTAAATTTAAAATATAGTTCTGTTACCAAGAATGATGCAGCTGCTGGGTTTAGACTTAACTAGTGTTATTTACTGAACTTTAAGAGGTATCATTTTCTAAACTACAGTTTACTTACGGCCCTCTTGGGAATAGATTGTCGAGTTGTTTTTGGCCCTCTGTCATCTCTCTTAAGCCAGGCACCTTTAGATTGTTTGCAATTTGTTCTGAGGTTGAGGACTGGGCCCTTCTCACCTCAAGGTGTAATGTAGGTGAGCCATAGGGTTTCCCTACCAACAAGCTGCAAGCTGTCTTCCCTCGAGCTAAATAAACCTTCAAGAAGACAATGATGAGAGAAGTAGGATGTATTTTGAAGCAATAAAAGCCAGCTCTTCAGAATGTTCCATAGTTTAACCAAATTTCTATAGACTACTGGATATAGCCAAGTCAGAGGTTTCCTTCTGGATTAAGGCCAAGTTCCCCCAGGGGGCAGTGATGGAAGGTGAGACACTCACAGCAGCCCCAGCAGGAAGAATGCCCATCTTTTCACCACGTGGCCACCTTGTGAGCATGGCATCTCCTGCACTAAGGCTCAAGGAGAGGTGCTCCAAGCATGGTTTTCAGTGTGTGTGCTCGGTTGCCCAGTCGTGTCCCACTCTGCCACCCCATGGACTGTAACCCACCAGACTCCTCTGTCCATGGACTTTTCCAGGCAAGAATATTGGAGTGAAGTTGCCATTTCCTCCTCCAGGGCATCTTCCTGACCCAAGGGTGGTCGAACTGGCATCTCCTGCAGTGGCAGGTGGGTTCTTTACCACTGAGCCAGGTGGGAGGCCCTTTTGTGTTGTATACACACGCAGTAAAGCAATTGCTAATTCTGAGGGGCAGCCAAGGATGTGAATGTACTATTAAAAGTAATGGGAACAGATTATAGCAGTTTTCTTTTCCTCCTTGAAGTATAACACATGACCTATTTGACCTTACCCAGAAGAAGCCAACATTGTGTATGACAGTCTTCATCAAGTCGAGTAACAGTTAAAACAGCTTGAATGTAAGCTTTATAAATGCCTGTGAACCAACCCAACTGTCACCACCCAGAGGTTATGGAACTCTTTCCCAGTATTTAGAAGAACAGGTTGTTTAGAGTATTGAGAAGACCAGGCTATAATCAGTGGGCTCCGAGTAGGGGGAAATAGTTCCTGATTTATTTTTGGCCTTGGTAAACCTCAGTCAGGTGTCTCCTTGTAGCTCAGAATGCAAACAGCCCCCCAAGAAAAGGTGGCACGGAGAGCTTGGTGAGCTGAAAACCCATCAATGTACACCTGCCTGGCTCCTGATCTGACCACTGGGTCATCCAGAGCTTGGAGTGATGTGTTGACCTCAAGTCACTGGATATTTTAAGGAGCTCTTTTTCTGTCCCTTTTTGCAGGAGTAGAGAGATGTAAGGGAGCAGACCACAGAATACTTTTAGATGCAGGCGAACTCAGTCCTCTACAAGGGAGAGAAGAAACACAACATCTCACTAACCCTTCGTGTCATTGGGCTGTGTCAGGATCACTCTTCGTATAATATTGCTTCCTCACAATATCACATCACTGGATGAAAGGAAAGTTCAGAGTCAGGAGTATTTTCTCAAATCATGGCTGAGTAACAACAAAAAGTGGGGGGAAATTTACTGTGAAGCTCCTTGTTAGGTTTTTAGATCTGTATGTGTTGACTTCACAGTATAGTACAGAGCAAAGATCTTATAATCAAGAGCACCATCACCCCAAGAAGGAAACTCTATGCACACGAACTGATAAAGGAGATTTGAGACTTCACTGTAGCTTGATTTTTACAAAATAACAAAATTAAAACATGGTTCATTATTCCTTCCGAAGATTTATGAACTTCTTGAATGAAACCTATTTTCTGAAGGAAATCCACCTGATAAGTTTTAGAGTTGCTATGCATAGGGTTGATACGTCCCTTCCTTTTCTTTGGAGCAACATCTTAGTATTTCAGGGGGATAGAGAGAGCTGGAGAATTCGGTGTGGACAGCAATGTGTGTCTATAAAATTCCCATCAGCATTAAACTCTGAAATTTACAATGAACAGCCTTCAAATTGGTGCTAAATTGGGTAGACACCCTGCTGCTTTCTGAGTCCATGAGCAAAATTCAACTCAGTCCAGATTTAGTGCAATTAGGCAGGAGGGTGTTGGGAGTCAGAAACAGCCCACGATGGTATTTCTCTGTACTCGCAGTTCACACCGACTTAAGTGGAAATGATGCCACAATGAGACCAGAAAGAGGAGTCTCCGTAAGATAGCCCTACAAAGTCACCTTTCTGATAAAAAGGAGAATGAAAGTGAGATATCTAAAATAAGCCTAGAATCTCCTATGCAGCGCAGCTTCTGAGGGGAACTCTTTCTCCCTCATGTCCTTCCATAGTAATAGAATCTCACACAGCCTGACTTTTAAAGGTGGGTTTCACTACAGCGCAAAGTGGAGAGTGAACTCCCACCCAGACTGTCTCCTGACTCAGCTCTTTCAGACAGTGTTACGTTCCATCTCTGCTGACTGCAGTGCTGTTTACTACTGGGAACATAAAAACAAAACCTGCTGTTTTTACAGTCACTTTTTCTAGTGTTTTCCTTTGCTTATATGATACCAAGTCTGTTCATAAGTTCTGAAGATAAATTATGTGAAATCATATTTTGGCATATGATTGAGGGTGGAGAATGAATTCTTTACGGTCTTTTTTGGATGATCCCATTTGTACCACAGAAACATTTTGGATATTGTTATATATGAATATATAAATTTTTCTTGTTTATTTTGCATTAAAATAAAGCTTTATTCAGTCAGTAAGAGAGTCCTGGTTTTCACCCACCACTGACTTATATTAAGATTTGATGAATGAACGGGTAGGTCTGGCCCTGCCACCCTAGAACAGCAACATCATAGGGCCAAGGACACTGGGAACTAGCGGCGTCATGTGCTGTTGTTTAGTCGATAAGTAGTGTCCAACTCTTTGCAAACCCATGGCTGCTCTGTCCATGGGATTTTCCGGACAAGAAAACTGGAGAGGGTTGCCATTTCCTTCTCCAGGTTATCTTCCCAACCCACGGATAGAACCCACGTGTCCTGCATTGCAGGTGGATTCTTCACCACTGAGCCACCTGGTTAACCACATGCTGGGCTCCCCCAGAGCAGATGCTGAGGTGGGAATGACCAAGCAGAGTGTTTATTTGGGAGAGCACTTGGATTCAGTACCTACAGAAGGCAGAGGAAGAAGACAGGATGGAGCAGAGAGGGAGAAGCTGAGCTGCGTGCCCTTCCAGCTTGGGCTCAGCCAACTCCACGAGGAAATCTGGAGCTTCAGTGGCCCCCATAGAGTTGTCCCAAGTGTGGACATGGGAGAGGGGCATTTATCCCACCATCTCTGTCAGGGGGTATGAGCTACCCCTGAAAGGAGAAGAGACCCAGAACCAGGCAGTTTTCTTCAGGTAAGGCAATGCCCAAAAGGGTTGACAGCTGGGGGTCATCTTTGGGACATATTTACAGTAGCTAGAGAATGCCCTTTCATTCCTGAAGTGGGATTTGGGCACCACATCACAGAATTCACAAATGCATCCGACACAGTGACCCCCTCTCTTATGCCAGGATCACGCTCACCCTGTCTAAAGAAACAGGATTCGGAGCTGGTTTTCCTTGAGACCATCCGTATGTTTCCCAAGCAACTTTACTGGCTTATTCCCAGCCCTCTTCTCACTCTCTCTTCAAGTTCATCCACAGCCTTTCAGCTACCATCCTAGACGGATTTGCTCACAATCTCCAGCTCTGATCTGTCTCCTGAGTACATGCATTTCCACTTTCCTACTGGACATCCCTCCTTGGACTTTCCAAAGGCCCTTTGCACTCAACTTGTCCAAACTGAAAACAAGCTTTCTCCAAAGAAACCTGCTTCTTGCGACTCTGCTGACCAATTGCACCACCATGTTCACAGTTAAAAACCAAAAAATCCAGAAATAATCCTTGACTCACCATATATAACTCTGCTCCTTGCCCATAACCATCCCCATCTGATGAGATGGAAGGCCGGCAATTCCACCCTGCACTTCTGTCAAATACATCCATTCTTCCTAACATCCTTCCATGGCCTTCATTAAGCATCATCACTTCTCAGCCACTCCCCTGTGATCTCTGCCTCTTATTTAGCTTCCTTCTGACCCACCTCTGTACTATACAGACCCCACCACCTTTGTAAATAAAATTTTATTGGCACACATAGACACTGATTCACTTAAACATTGTCTAATACTCTCTCACACTGTGATATCAACCTCTGCCCTGCACTCCCAGAGGAACTTTTTGAAACAGACAGCTGACCAAATTAGTCTGGAGGCAGCATTGTGTTGTTGAAATAACACTGGCTTTGCACACGGTCAGTCAGTTCAGTCGCTCAGTCATGTCTGACTCTTTGCGATGTATGGACTGCAGCACATGAGGCTTCCCTGTCCATCACCAAATCCCAGAGCTTGCTCAAAGTCACATCCATTGAGTCAGTGATGCCATCCAACCATCTCATCCTCTGTTGTCCCCTTCTGCTGCTAAAATTAGGTTCAACCACGAATTAGCTACATAACCTTGCATAAAATGCTTCTCTCTCTAGGCCTCAGTTTTACCATTTGTGAAATGAAACTACTATACATCTTATGGGATTGTTTTAAGAATCAACTTACAGGACAAACATAGGAGTTATGGGGTCAGTTTGAACCAGCTCCCAGGAGCTAACTCTGCATTTCTTCCCAACTCCATGTTCAGTGATGTCACACTGGTAGCTTGAAATAGGTTATGTTTGAAGCATTCACAACACAGGAATTAGCATACCCTACAAATCAGGACTTTTTCCCTTCTGGAGAGTCAGTTGTTAAACATTACCAGCACACCAGTACATAAAACATAGTTATATGTTTACTAGAATACTGCTATATATAACACACATAGTTGCCCAGCAGTCAAGGAAAATTAATCCTTGCCTCCATTCTCTCTCTCTCTTTCTCTCTCTCACTCACACATATACACATGACTCCGTGCCTCCATTCTCTCTCTCTCTCTCTCTCACACACACACACATAGACACAAGCACACACTCCTCAAAGTCTTTCTGTGGTTAATACTTATGGCTTAAAGTCTGACATCCAAAGCCCTCCAAAATCAGTCCACTGTGCCTTTCTCTCCTCAAGTCTCCTTACTCCTAATTTTACATCTTGTGCTAGTGTTGTTTCAAATTACTTCCATTTATTTGAACCAGGGGTGCATTTAACAGCTTCGCACCACAGCAGCACGTAGTAAATGCAACAGGCAGAGCCTCCCCTGCTCAAAATGCCCTCTGACCTGTGGCTCCTCAGTCTTCCTTCAGATCCCAGACCAACTGACTCTTTCTCCATGAAGACCTGAAGGCAGACACTGGAGGTTGGCTCCTTCATATCCACCGCGCCTTCTTGGAGCAAGACTTACTGCAGGTCGGAGGCATGAAACCTAGAGACCACCTTCTCCAGACTTCCTCCCGGCTTGGGCGATGCAGCTCAGCCTCCACCGGTCAGACCGAACACTCTGGCAGACAGACTACTGAGGCCCAGGCGTGCTTCTGAGGGCAAGCAGAGTACAGAGGCATCTGGTGTTACTGGAGGGGTGTCTGGTCTCTAGCTTCCTGTGGGTCAAGAGGCCATGGGAGGGACATCCACTGTTTTAGCAAGGACCACAGCCGAGGCAGCGTAACTCTGTTGCCCCCAGATGGGGTAATGGCTTTTCAGGGCCCTGACTTTCTGGGTAGCAACTCCTTCAGTGGGCCAGTTCTGTAACATTCTGAGATTTGTTCCTGGAAGACCTGCCTGGAGCACTCTCTAGCCCTTCCAACACCGACAACACCTGTGCTGTGTGTGCTGTGCTTAACTCTTCAGTCATGCCAGACTCTTTGTGACCCCATAGACTATGGCCCAACAGGCTCCCTGGTCCATGGGATTCTCCAAGCAAGAAAACTGGAGTGGGTTGCCATTTCCTTCTCCAGGAGGATCGATCCTTCTGACCCAGGGATCGACTGTCATCTCCTGCATTACAGGCAGAATCTTTACCGCTGAGCCACCTGGAATCTAACTCCCCACATTAAGTTCCTTTCTGTTTAGCTCGGAGGGACTCAGTTATCAGCAACTAAACCAACCAAGTTAGTTGCCACAGCCTCCTCCCAAGACAGAGCTGGCAATTCCATCCAGTATTATTGAGATCCTTTCCGCAGATCGTCAATAAAACTTTTATTACCTCTACTACAGTGATTGGTTTCCATGTCTGTGTGGCCTTCTAAGGAGTATCATATTTGTAACACATTGCCTGGCTCTGACCATGCACTTAAGAAATATTTGTTGAAGTCATTTGAATGAAGAAATGAGGTGTGAGGATTCTTTCCCTGAATTGCTGCAGTACTGACGTTCCAGTTCACAGCCCAAATCATATATCTCTAAGTCCTGTTGTTAAAGATCACCTGGTATTATTCTCGAGGTGAAAAGTGTTAGCTCACGTGAGCAGGCCAGGTTACAACTTAAAGCATGAAGCAGGCTACGAAATTTTCAATGCAATGGGCAATGCATTATCTAGAGAGTAAAGAGAAACTTAAGTAGAGAGAAAATGTATTACTTGCAACCTACCAAGATGGAAATACTTTTTTTAGTGATAGATGACTACTATTATTGTATAATTCCTTGGATTTTAGGCAAGTACTTTGCAATTACTTGAATTATTTGTTCCTTTCAATAACTGTAGGTGGTGAGTTTGGATGGTTCCCTGACTTTCTGTAAGGAGTCTTTCATACAATGGTACTAAATTAAGAGGTTTAATGAACACTACCTTAGGCATATCCAAAGAAACTAGAGATGACTTCTGTAAGTGTCTTGACAATTGAGATTTCTTTTTTGGTGACCATGTTTATACTAATTATTCTTTACTTCATCGGCTGAATGTTTTCTGATAATGGTGATTTTTGCTTCTCATATAGTCAGAGAACATCAGACTCATTTTACAGCTAAAGAAACCAAGGCATGGAAGAGTCACCCAGGTACTCCAGCTCAGAGGGAGAAAAAGTGCAACTTCCTTTATTCATGAAGTGTTTTCTGAGACCCTACTATGTTCCTGGCACACTATACTAGTCTCTGCCATGTGAGTGGGTACATCACCAGCTTACATCAGAAGCTTCTTCCTTAGCATGTTTTGGCTAATGCATTTCATCCCTGCACCTTCCAAATCACTGGACTCTCAAAGGTCCTTGGTCATGGTTAAGAAACCCACGCCCGTTGGAAGAGGAGGGGAGATGCTTCACAACTGTGGACACACTTAACATCCAACTATCATCCTTTTGACCTGAACTTTTATTTGGCTAGTGGTTACCCTCCTCAAACAACGCCAAATACCTAAGTTTGCTGCCTAATAATGAATGTGCGTGCATGCATGCTCATTTGTGTCCAACTCTTTGCAACCCCATGAACCACAGTGCACTAGGCTCATCCATCCATGGGATTCTCCAGGCAAGAATACTGGAGTGGCTTGCCATTTCCTCCTCCAGGGAATCTTCCCAACCCAGGGATCAAAGTCACTTCTCTTAACATCTCCTGCATTGGCAGGCTGGGACTTTACCACTAGCACCACCTGGGAAGCCCAATAATGAATGTGCAATACCCTAAATATGGTCTACCTGGTAACAACCCTTGACCTTGTAGCTCTTCTGCTTAGTCACTCCAATGACATTCAAAAATAGAGATTCATTGTGGCCCAACAGACACTTCATGAAAATGCAACAGAGGCCCACAGACATGGAGGAG